TCCATCCATCCATCCATCCATCCATCCATCCATCCATCCATCCATGTTTTCCCGCACGCCCTCCCCTACCAAACCGCACAGGAAAAATTTCACACAACCTGCTGACTGAATTAACTTATTCTCTGGGTTTGCACAATATACTAAATCATGAACAAATCCAACAGTTTGAGGTCCGCAACCTGCTAACCCACAAAAACCTTCGTCAAAGTTAGCAACGACCAGAGTTTGCGGGTTGGGCAGACCCAACCTCTGGAATTCGATCCAACCTCATTAAAGGCATTTTGTAAAGGCAGACCGTTAGTGGCAAGTACCAACAGCAGTCCTGCAACTGGGCTGGGATCAGATTTGTGGACGCTCGCCTGACCTGCGTGCTGAGACATGAGAGGTGGTTGTAATTGCACCTGCAGGGCAGCGGAGAAGACAAGGCCAGCCAACCGATCGCTCTGCTGCAAACCAGCACTCTGCTTACCGCCCTGCGTTGCGTGCCAAGGCCTCCCGAATCTCTCGGATGTCCTTTTGAGTCTGGTCGATTTTTTCCATGGTCTGGAAGAGGCGCACATTCAGGGCCTTCTTGGTGGTCTTGCTGGCGTGGTAGATCTCTTTGCTGCTCCTCTCCAGTGGGAGCAGCTTCCCTTCTGCCTCCCTCCCAGAGTCCTGGCCCTGAAGCTTCTCATTCAGAAAATCAAACACGTTACGGGGCTTCGGGTTCTGCTGCCGGAGCCGGGCAGCCTTGTTTCCTTTCGCCCTCCGTTTCTTGGGCTTAGATGGATCGAGTTTCCCCTCCTTCTTCTTCTGGAGGATCTCGGCACACTGGTCCAATGACTTCCCCTTTGGGAGCACAACAGCTAACACTGGCTCCACCCGACCCTCTGAATTCTTGCCCAAACCTGAAAGAGAACAAGTGGGGGGAGCAAGAAGAATCACAGCTGAGTCACCACAGCAAGAATCAGCTCACCTCCGACCTTCACTCATTAGAAGAAATTTTTTCATATATGTTACTACTCATTGCAAAGAACACCAAAGCGGTTTGCAAATCCAATAAAAGCCAGAATAAAAGATGATGCATTGAAAAAAGAATGCTACCTCTGTATTCTACTGCTGGCCCTTCAAGCGGGATCTTTGCAGCAAGACAAAAAGGAGGAGGGGGATCTTATTGTCCTGGGTTTTCAAGGCTGTTGGGGGGAGGGAGTATCCTGCTTTTCTGTCCTTGTGAGGTCTGGGAAGGGAGGCAAATGCATATTCACATTGTGCAGAGGCTCAAGAGTGCTTGGGAAGTAGCAGGGAAGGGTCAGGATCTGAGCCCACTATAGCCCTTGACACAGTGAAGTACAGGTAGTCCTTGCTTAACGACCACAATAGGGACCAGAAAATTCGTTGTTAAGCAGGGCGATTGTTGAGTCACGCTTGATTTTACAACCCTTTTTGCAGCGGTCATTAAGCGAATCACCAGGGCTGTTAAGCGAATCATGCGGTCATTAAGCAAATCACACGGTTCCCCATTGATTTTCCTTGCTGGAAGCCAGCTGGGAAAGTCGCAAATAGTGATCACGTGACCCTGGGATGCTGCAACCGTTGAAAGTGCGAGCTGGTTGCCAGGTGCCCAGATCATGATCATCTGACCATGGGGGTGCTATGACGGTTGTAAGTGCAAGTACTGGTTCTAAGTCCCTTTGTTCAGCACCACTCTAACTTCCAACGGTCACTAAACGAATGGTTGTTAAGTGAAGACTACCTGTACTCAAGGCTTTCTGATTAATTACTGCATATTAAATAGAAACTCTGGCTGAGGACAATAGCTAAGGTGGCCTTAGGACAAAAGCTACTCAAGTGGACTTTCTTAACATCTGCTTCTGCCTTTCTTCTAAGGATGGAGATCTTATTTCAGCCCATGATAGCAGCTCACCCTCTCAAAATGAAAGCAGAAATAACACTTTCCTTCAGAAACGGGAGGGGAGAGCCACCACACCCACACCTACCTTTACCAAGCTCGTAACCCATCTGAGCCAGAAGTTTAGAGCCAATGCCGCGCGTGTGGGCTTCCCAGCTGCCGAAGGAGGAAAGGCAGGTGGACGTTCCTTCCCCATTCTCTGGAATGCTGCAGTCGATGACTGGACGACAGGGGGGAGACAGATTAGAGGCAGAAAGCAGCAGCACCAGAGAAATCAAACAAAGGCCAGGCCAGAAATGGGAAACCATTAAAACCTCTTGGCTTCTTCATTCTGCTGGATGTGGAGGAGGTAAATGGGAGGGGGGGAAATCTCCTTCAGAATTCAGGGTCAACTAATGAAGCTAAATGAGACTTGCAAGACTGATGTCAGCCCTCCCACGTAAACCAGACAGGAAACAACCAGATGAGCCAATTCTACTTTATGGTAAGGCTGCATTAACAGAATCTTGCAAGTCTGAAAGTACAAATCTCCCACCCTCCCTATTTAACACCTAATCAGCTAGGGCAGGTCCTTTCTAAGTTTCTTTTTCTGCCCTTGGGGCTCCTCCCCTTTAATCTGATCATTCCCTGGGCAGCATCTCCCCCCCACCACTTTCCAAGGTCATTCTCACACTCCATTGCATCTTGATACAACTCATTTTGCACACCCTGGACCAAGTTCTTGCGGTCATTTATATCATTTGCCTAATAACGTGATGATCCAAATAACATCATCTGAGCAATGAGGTCTTTACACTAATACGATATCTATACAGAAATCACCTAATTTTGTATTAGTGGAAAACAGACATGTTCTACTCCCTAATTAGTTTGCTAAACAAGGTTTCAGAAAGACATTCCCCTGAGCTCACCTGACTTTACTCTTCGGTAAGTCTCTTTGGAACTGCAGCATACATTTTGCAGCGAAGGTTATTTGGGCCGGAGTTACGTACTAATGGATCCTACCTGGCGGGATGTAGGCTAGCGCAATCCTATTTTCTTCCCCCACTATCAATGATGAAAACAATGAAGCTGCTTTCTAAGAATCTGAGAATACCTCTGACGGTTACCTCCAGGTGTCAAAGCTACAATTGCAACTCGGGAGGAACCACATTCCTCCGGCTTTCTCGGCATTCAGAGTGGTTTCCTCCCTAATTCTTGAGGTGTCTTGTCTGGGGATCCCCTTCTAAAGAGCAAGGTAGGGAAAGTCTATTCTGGATCATGTGACCAGGAAGGAGGCGGGCTTAGAATGGAGCACTTGCCAACATTCTGAGCCGCTACCCAGCTGTGCCTTTCGCAGGACTGCGTGTGTGTGTGTGTGTGTG